GAGGGAGCGGAGGTCCCGGGCTCGCCCCGGCCGGCGGCCCCGAGGGGGTCAGCCCTGCCGTGAGGGAGCGGAGGTCCCGGGCTCGCCCCGGCCAGCGGCCCCGGGGCGGGCGGGCCCAAGAGGGAGGCGGCCTCGGTGTCCGCGCCGGTGGCAGCAAGGCCTCGCCGAGCGCGGCCGGGGGGTCAGCCCCGCACCGGGGCTCCGCTGGTGTCGGGGATGGGGGAGTGGGCGCGGCGGGGGCCTCTCCGGTACCCGCAGCCGTCACTGTGGGGCAGCGCCGCCGCCCCGGTAGCGGCAGGCGCAGTGCGGCACCGGACCGTGGGCTGGAGTCACCGAAAGGGAGCGCCCGCCGAACCCGTTCTGCCGCCCCGCCGTCCTGGGGGCGTCTCTGTCGGGCCACCGCCGCGGCGGCAGGAGGAGGTGGGCGCCCGGGGCGGCCCGGAGCCGGTCGCCCCTTCCTTGTGGCGAGCCTGATGTGCGAGGCTTTGCCAAGGGGTGGAAAGGTGCCTTGCGGGAGCGGGGTGGGGTGTGTGCACTGGGGGAATGTTTAAACCGTTAATCTGGGGCCAGCCGGTTAGAGGATAATGGCAACGAGCTTTACTCTTGCGAGTAAGAGTTTTGTAACTTCAGTAGTTGTGACTCCCGGCAGCAGATGGTTCATGAGCTGAAGGACGTAGTCCCTCTTGAGAGCTGAGCACACGGTGGATATTCCAGCGAGGGGAAAAAACTGTAGTTGTCCCGAGTGTCTCTGCCTGAAGTGTCACGCTGCAGCTGAAGGTTTGCTCTGGTCGCTGGTGGTTCCTCTCAGGCTTGTTTACTGGGAATGAGTCTGGAGACCTGGCGAGAGAACAGCTCCCAATGCTTGGGATTCTGTGTGAGTCCCTTGGGCCTCAGGATGTAGCTGTTCTGTGATTCCTCTGCATAAGTACTACTGCAAAATTAATTGTGACAAAGTGCCTTCCACAGTAGATTAGGTAGTGGACCTAATAAGTGCGAGAAGAGATTGAATGTTGATGCTTGTAATTAAGCACTTCTCTTGTGATTGGCCAGCATTCTATTTCTGGCTACTTGTCCACTTCTATTGCATAGAGGTTGATTTTATTTACCTGTGGCCATCAATACATGCAGAACTGTGGCCAAAGATAACTTTTACACTTTGAGCTTGTTTATAGGCTGGGTGGTAGGTTATAGCAGAACACAGTTAGGTAGATTTTAGCTGCTGTGGTTTGGGTTCTGCGCAGAACTGGCTGTTTTCTTGGATAGAGATTGGAATTGGGTAAAATACACAAAAATATTGCATTGCAATGCATTACCTAATAAACCTTTCCAGTAAGGTTTTTCTTTAAAGAAAAGTTTTTTTAAAAGTTGATAACCAATTACTTTCCTCTGTGATACTTGTAGAAATTTAATTAATTTGCTTTCTAACAACAGCTTAATTAAGATATTTCCTTATAGTTTGTTTTCTCAACCTCCTAAAGGTATATAAGCCAATAACTCTGGAAAACAGTGTTTTCTATTTCCTTTTTTTTTTTTTTTTTTAACTGAAAACTCACTGTTTTTATGTTTGTACTATCTTAATCTGCTTAAATTCAATCTGGTTTAGCATTCAAATGCTAAATAATACTGAGCTCTCCTGGTCAGTCTTAACTGACATTTTTTTTAAGTGCATTTTCTTCAGTATAAAACAGACTTATTCCAAAAGCATGGGAACAAACAGCCTTGCAGTAAAAGGGATAAGAGATGTGTCAATGGAGGTGTGACAGTCACTGACCATCTTCAAGATAAGTCTATTTAAAAAAATAAATAAATAAAAGGGGGGAGCTCTGTAATGCTAAGTCTCCTGATAGAAACTACGTTTCTGTGGACTGTGAGTCACATCACCCTGATCTTGGTGTGGCTCTAGGAGAGCTGTGCTGCCAGAGCGTTAAACAAGCTGCCGACGCCGTAACAAACCACTGTCTCTTGAAAGCATTTGTTGAACATACTTTGCTGGTGACAGAACTAGTTTTAAACAGCAGAACTGTCTTGGGCTAAGCAGAGCCCTTGCTATAAGATGGAGAAGTGTATCGTTGGCTTTGCCTTTCCAGGCAGTGTTCTAAGGCTTGTGTACGAACCTTCATTAGCAGGGTGATTTTGTGCTCTGTAAGTAGTACCAACTGCCGTGTTTTGTTGTGCATAAGTGTGCTGTGTGTTAAAAGGGTCTTGTAAAAGCTTAAGAGTTCAGCTCAGTTCAGTAGGCTAACTATGAATTTTCCCCTTTACCTTAATTTTTGTTCTGTAATTCCCCCGTTCCTTTATCTCCAGGTATCCAAAGTAGAGAGTTGATGTGGTGTTGGCTGACTTGATCCTACAGCTGATGTTTAACTTGGGAGGTAAATGTGAAGGCTTTTGTGGCTTTTTTTTAAAACAGTTGTCTACAAATGACACTTCAGATTGTTTGTTTCTGTATAATCTGAAACAATTTAGAAGCAACATGATACTGCATTCTCATCAGTTAGACCGCTGTTAGTGAAACTGCGCCTTGTGTGGGCTCAGAAGCATGCTTACTGCAAAATTTCTTTGGTCAGAGAGGGTAATTATTCCCTAGTTAGCATTACAAAAATGAAGTCTTGTTCTGTTGGTCTGGAGGTGGTGTGTGTTGCCAAGCAGGCGGCCACTGTGCCGGCTCTCTGTGTTTAATAAAACACAAACCAAAATTCTGCATTCACGAGCTTCCGGAGACAGACAGTCCCTCTTAAAACCGTCTCGCAGACGGAAGTTGCAAAACTTACTCTTCACAATTCATCTCTTTCTGACTTGGAGAGAGCAGGACATATGTCCATCAGGTAACTTTTATTTCTAAGGCTACAACACCTTCCTCCCCTTGCTTGAGCAGTCTATCCATATCTTTAAATAACTGCCTGCATGAGATAGATGATAAACAGCCTTCTAAAGTGAAACTAATTTATTTTAGAGTTGTTTGGGGTTTTTTTTCTTTTTTTGAAGGGGGGGTGGGGTGGAGGAAATACGTCTGCGTCTTGGAAACTTCCTGTAAAACAGTAATTAAAATTGTTTTTACAGTGGACACCTCTTGAGATTCTCCCCCTCTGTCCCAAATTAATGGTGCTGTAGGGGTTAACAATGGGGCTTCATAAAGAATTTGGGGTACACGGAGATGAGGGATGTTAAGATAGCACATGAAGTTGCAGAATGAATTGCTCAACCACATCTGGCATAGTGGAGAATTTTTGAAGCTGACCTTAGAAGATTTTCTTTAAAATATTTCAGGTTTCTAGTTTAGTTTTCAGACTTTTGTCTGTACCATAAATGAGTTCTGTTCCTTTTCAGTGAAAAAGCTGGAATTCTTGCCAGATGACTCAAGAAATTAAACAAAGGGGAGCAGGTATAGAACACTGGAAGGTCTTGTCCTAATTTGCCTTTCAGGTTACAATGGTTACTCATTCTTTATTGGCAATGTGGCAATAAGGAACTGAATTAAAATGAGTTTATACCTGTTTCATTACCGAAAAGCCAAAAACTCATATTCATTGTGTGCAAACAATGGATTTAGAACAGGAAAACTTCTTGGTCACTGTAGCAGAGGGAGAGAAATGTGGATTAACCTTGACTGTCTTCTAGATAACACAATTGCATATCCAGTGCTACAGTTGTCAGGATGTATCATGCTTTAGGGTTCTGGCTCTTGCTTGTTAGGTGACAAGGTGCAGCTCTAGCAGGGCTAAGTGTGGATTTCTGACCTTTGTTTCCAGCTCCTTTGCTGATATAAAAGCTGAAGTGACCATGGCTACAGAACTAAGTATTTGGGGTACAGTCAAAGATCCCACATCTAGGAAGATGTAAACTCTTGTTGTATTTAACTTTTGTTTTCCTATCAAGCTTAGGGCTCACTACATCTCCTGCAAGGACAGACACAGTCCCTTGCTCAAAGCTTACCCTGATGGCTCGCAGCCCTGGGAGTCACCGAGAAGGGGTCTGTCTGGTGTGTGCACATGCTGGTACATCCTGACATTGAAGTACAAATGTAATGATGTGTTTGGCTGACACATCACAGTGAGTGGAATGGCAGTTGGTATGTCCACAAAATTACCTCGTTCAATGTTTCAGTGATGCACAATACCTTCCAAATTCTTCTCTTTGTGGCAGTCGTCTCTTCAGGATTGTAGTATTACAGCTGGAGTTACAGCAGAAGCACTGCCTGTGCTATTGGATCAGATACACTTTCCTGCCATGATAACCAGAAAACGTTCCTAGGATTTGTTAGAATTCATTTGCTTGTATGAAATTTCCACTTCCTGGCAGATGCCATGATTGATTTATTTTTTATTATTTTTTTTCCTCCCTCCCTCCCTTCCTTCCCTCCCTGAATTGATTACAATCCATTTGCAAATTAGTGGTTTAGCTGCAACAAAGGTTTAGTAATGCAGTTATTATTCTTGCCTTGAAGACTCATCCAGACATATAAATAAATTCTACCTTCTGTAGTTGTTACTCCTGCCTTTCCTTATCTTGTAGCCTCCCATTTACTGAAAGATGTCAGCAATTGGAGTAGTGTCCTCCTGTTCCTGTCTCCGTCCTGGTGTATGGCTGCTGAAACCAGGAATGCAGAAGATGAGCTCCTTCGGCTTGCATACAGCAGCCAGGTGTGCTGCCAAGGATTACTATGAAGTGCTTGTGTTGGGTGGAGGTGCTGGTGGAATCACCATGAGTGCTCGGATGAAGAGGAAAGTGGGGGCAGAAAATGTGGCTGTTGTTGAGCCCAGTAAGGTAAGTCTTCCTTGGCTGTAAAGCCTTGAAAAGAATAAGTGTTTTACACGTGACCAGATTGGTTCAATTCTCATCCCTCTGCAACCCCACATGTTTTTAGCTGTGGAGGGGAAGCCAACTGGCCATCTTTTAGAAAGCTTTGCATGAAATTGGTTGCTTCATGACAGATCCATGCATCCCTCCAGCTTGGTCATGCAAAACTCTTAGTTATTTATACAGCTTCTTCTGTTAAGAATAATACACCGTTAAAAGCACGTTGCTTCCTAATTGGAGTGATGTGCTTTCATGATAAAGTCCCTTTAAACAGTTATTAAATATCCGCTTGAACATTTCTTTCAGACTCATTACTATCAGCCGCTGTGGACCCTGGTTGGTGGTGGTGCAAAGCAGCTGGCAACTTCTGCCCGTCCAACAGGAAGTGTAATGCCTAAAGGTGTTGAGTGGATCAAATCTCGAGTTACAGCACTGGATCCAGATAAGAACTGCGTTTGGCTGGAGAATGATATCAAGGTAATTAAGTTTTTAAAAAACAAAAGTTATTCCTAGGCTCTTATTCTATGTCATGAGTTATCTGTCTACCTTCTGCAGATCCCCTTGGAACTGCCTGTTGAACAAGACCTTCTTCCAGCATCTAGGAGGCCAGGAAATTCCACTTCTCTTATCAGAAATACTTGATCCTGAAGTCTGTTTCTAATAAAAATTGTTATAGATAACTAGGTTAGAATAATATCAACTTAAAATATAATTTTCATAAGTCCTTTCCCTGTTTATAGTAAACTGAACACAAAAGATAGAATATTTTGCTCCATACAGTTTTGTGTAGAGCAAAGGCTGTCTGTATAACTCATAATGTAGTTAGCATTTTAACTGTAAGTCATTCTTTTAGCTTAACATGTACCTTACTAATGCTCCCTCTATCTCCTTCCCTTATTACTTTGTTGCTGTCAGGTAATTTGAATTTGCTTTGAGGTAATGTTTTGGTTTTTTGTCTAAAATGTTTTTCTTTTTTTTTTTCCTCCCTTACACAACAGATATCTTACAAGTATCTGATAATTGCCCTTGGGATTAGTCTGCATTACGAAAAGGTATTTGTTTTACAGTAATCATGTTTTTACTAGTTTTAATGGCATCACATACCCCTATGATTCACTAAAGTAAATGGTTTTTCAGTACACTTTTTTTTACTGCAAGACATTGAATGCTAATAGGAATTAAAGAGTCAGAAGACAGCCTAATGACTTTATTCCTTCCACAGATCTCTATGTAATAACCCAAATTACCCTTGGGAAGGTCTTTTAAGACAGCTTTGCTGCATCTCTATGGCAATATCAGCAGATGGGGCAAAGAGTTAAATGTGGAACTTAAAGGCAGTCTGTAATAACGAGATAATAAGGTAGTTCCAAGCATCTCTAATGGAAACAGAAGTGAGGAACACACAGTAGTCAGTAAAATTTGACCCACCCTCACCTTCAGAAGGGACCAGCTGAGTTACCACGCTTGTGTTTAAATAGGCACTGGGGCCCTTCCCCTCTATTGGGTTTCCTGTACACTTTATACAGTGGCACTCAGAGGAAAATGTTAATACCAGTGTATGGCACAAGAATGACCAATGTGTAGGAGGAGGAGGAAAGCACAAAGGCAAGATGTTTGAGTGATTTGACTCTCATGGTTTTAACCTGACCTGAATATGATGTAGTACCTGATAATTTATTTGAGTATCTCTTTGAATAGCTCCCAAGACACATGTAAACAAGAGCTAGTCTTAGTTAACTATAGTCACACCAGATAAATTCTGCTGATTAGGTCAGTGGAACGAGGAGTTGAATTGTGAATTGTGTTCACTCACCCTCTCAGTCTTCGTTTATATCTCTTCAGTACAACCTGATGAAACTGTATTCAGTAGTAGAAGCCATGTCATACAGTTAATCACCATTACTCTATTGTGAATAAAATTAATAGCAACAGGTTTATATGGCTTTAAAATGAAAGTGGCCAGTTTAAAAAGAGGGGTGTTTACTCTTATTTGTCTTCACCAACAGCATACTTCTGATGTAGAGTGTAACGTCCCAAACACATTGCAGTGTGTGTGATGTGACTCCGTTTTCTCACAGAATTCTTCTGAAGTGGGGACAACCCCCTCTCTCACAAGCAGATGCTCAGGCATAGGAGAAGTAGTAGGGGGATAATTATTGGAGACAGTCAAGTTAAAATAACCTTAGGAAATCCAGGTATCTGCAACTACTGAAAAATTTCATTCACCTTATAAATTTTTGTAACGCCTTCTTTTTTTTTTATGTGATTTTTACTTACAGTGATGGGGCAGTGACTTTATATATTCTTACTCTGAATTTCATGCACTAGTCTACAAAAAGTTGGGTCTGGGTCTGCACTGCACATTTACGCTACAGATGTTGCAGACCAGATCCTTTCAGTAAATGTCAGATCTACTAAATCATCTACTAAATTCTAATGGAGATACCTGTTTGATTGCCAGGCTTCTTGTTAAAAATGCCAAATATCAAATAGGTGTGGGCTTTCTTTTTGCTTGCATCTTCTTAAATAGCTGTTTCTCAAGCATTTAATACTTGACAATGATGACAAAATTTTTGCTATCTATACTTTAAACCTTAATTTCATTTTCTTAGATCAAAGGCTTGCCTGAGGGTTTTGATCACCCTAAAATAGGTTCCAATTATTCAGTTCATACGGTAGAGAAAACATGGAAAGCTTTACAAGATTTCAAGGAAGGAAATGCTATCTTCACTTTTCCAAATACTCCAGTGAAGTGTGCGGGGGCTCCTCAGAAGATCATGTATTTATCAGAGGCCTACTGGAGGAAAGTAAGTATTTTACTCTGTCTGCCAGTGCTTCTTCCCACAGCTGGAAGGAAGGCTTGTTCTATGGGGTCCATATTATCTTTAAGACAAATAAAAAACATGAGAGAAATGTGACTCAGGATTATTAAGGTGACTGAGTTGCTTTTTCTATTATTAATGTATAATAAATGAAGCTGAATTCTACATAAATATTTAGGATATATTTAACACTGGATAAACTTGTAGAATTCAGAATCCATAAGGAAATAAGGTGAGCTACAGATAAAAGTCTTCTCAGCCTAATTTAAAATTTCAAGTGGTGCATTAAAATGACGCTAGCTGGAATTAATTGTTCCTTTAAGTACTTAATACCTATTGCCATTTGTCTTCCTGCTAGTCTGAAAAGGGGCTATGCTTGCTCCTTGTGGCACACCATCTCAGCATCAGGAGGAGTCTTAGCCAGGCTGTTAAAGCAAGCTTAGTAGAAACAACCGACAACTCCAAGTGGAAGTGTCTCAGGCTTCATATGTGTTAAAGTTTCACGAGCTGGGCGAGTATCTGAATAATGCATACAACTGAAGGTGTCAGAAAGAGATATAATGCTCAGCTGCTACAGGTGCTGGGCCTGCACACAGCGGTTCCTCAGTGAATTGCAGCCACCTCTTCCCAGTAGCAATTTGGCAGGGGGGTAATTTTAGTACCTCACTCAGAAAGGGCAAGGATAATCTTGTCTAGCTTCTAGTATGGTGTGAAATAGCTGAACCTCGTGAGTTCTAGTGTTAATACTTCATTAATTGTTGAACTACACTAATAGTTCTATCAGCTCTTCAGTAGTACAGCACAGTTCTATAGTCTCTGCTAGCTTGTTACAGTTTTTTAATAGAAAATGTTAATTTGATCTCTCTGTGCAGACAGGAAAGCGTTCCAAAGCAAACATAATGTTCAACACTTCACTTGGTGTCGTTTTTGGTGTCAAGAAGTATGCTGATGCATTACTTGAAATAATCAAGGAGAGGAATATTGCTGTTAACTATAAGCGCAACCTTGTAGAAGTCCGAGCAGACAAGCAGGAAGCTGTGTTTGAAAACCTGGACAAACCTGGAGTGACTGAAGTTCACCAGGTCAGGAGCTTTCAGACCTCAAGTTTGGTCCTGTTTCTTTCCCTTCTATACTGTACCATAACTGCTGCACTAGAATAACGTGTCTGCTTTGTTGTATACTGCCTTTACCTCCTTAAAGCACCATCTCTAACTGTAGCAGATTTAAAAGTTTGAAACTATGGTGGAGAGAAGAAAAAAATACTTCATAAACCACATATTGAGTCCAGTGTGCCTTGTTAGTATAACCTGGGGAGAGTCTCAGATGTGTATGGAGGAAAGCAAATTGCTGTTATAATGTTACCTGAGAAGGTTCATAGTAATAAAAGGATGCACGTAAAATCTGAAAGCAAGATTTTATTCTATATATTTGTGTTTAAAAAAAAAAAAATCAACAAACTAAGAAAACCCTTCTCCACACTGCTCTTACCATCTTCTATCACCACAGGTATGGCTTACTCTGATAAACCAGCCATTAAGTGCCTTTTCTTTCTGTCTAGTATGAAATGCTCCACGTCACACCGCCAATGGGGCCACCTGATGTGCTCATCAACAGTCCTGTTGCTGATGAAATTGGCTGGGTGGATGTAAATAAGGAAACTCTACAACATAAAAAGTATCCTAATGTGTTTGGTATTGGAGACTGCACCAACCTTCCAACATCAAAAACTGCTGCAGCTGTAGGTAAACTTGCGTGTGTGTGTTTGTGCATGCAATGAGAAGTGTGAGAGTGACAGTAAGCTTTCTTGCTTAGTTTGTTACTTCTGAGGTCTTGGCTTCGATTATTTCAATTTCTAAAAAGACCCAAGACTCCTGGGCCAAATAATTAGTTACAGACCATGCTGATGGCATTAACCCACAGTTCTCTTGTTCTGAGTGCCTCACAGAGGAACTAATTCTGTTTCTTGTGTTCATGGAATGGCATAAAATGAGCATACTCTTGCATTCCGTTACCATTCAGTAACAAAACCTTCTGCTCTATCTGAGAAGCTCATGCATACATGTCAGCCAACTGATAAGTCACAGTTGAAGAATTGCTTGTTCTGTACTTGCAGCCACAGGGTCCAATAGAAAAACACTGTTAGGCATATGGTCTCACAACTGCAAAAAAAATGTGAAGAGGGTGGAAAAAAGAAGGCTATACAGTACGTTATTGGTGTAACTTGAAGAATGGCATAATCAACTATTCCAGCAAATGGGGCTAGAATACTTCCTTCACAGCACTCAAAATAAAACAGTACTCCAGTGTGCCAGTCTTAGTGTTTGTGAAGACAGAGCAAGTATAGTTTAGCATAAGAGAACAGGTATAGGCTAAAACCATACAGCTCAACTTTCATTAAGCTTTAGCATGTTGGAAACAGTGAGGCCAAAGCATTATCCCAAGGTTTTGGTTTTTTTTACCTGGGACTGTAAACTTCCCAAATTGATTTGACACGCAAGTTCAATTACAGCTAAATTGTCCAACAAAATGCCTGGCTACTAGTGCTTGCTCTAATAATGCTAATAATTGCTGCCTGAAACAGAGCCTTAATGCACTCTTTTTTTTTCTTCCTTATGTAGCTGCCCAGTCGGGAGTGCTTGATAAAACTATTTCCCTGGTCATGAAGAACCAGTTGCCAACTAAAAAGGTACCTACAGCTCTTGTAGAGAGAAGTTATCTTGAATGTTTTCTCAATTCTTATGCAGGAAGTCTTGCAAGCAGCTACACCGTGTGAACCGGAAGGCAGGAAGGGCTTTACATCAGCAGCTGGGCTGTAAAATGGCTAAATACTGTATGTCACAATAGTAATTTAGTTGCACAATTCATATTCTTGATACTGTTGTTAAAAACATTATCTATTTAATTCTTCGACTCCTAAGCTGAAAGACTCATTATTCTGGATTCTTCACCAATGCAAGTGACTTATTTGGAGCAAGACTGTTGATTAGTATCATCCCTACTGCAAGAAAACCCATATGAACTTTACACATCTCTGATACGTTAAACTTGCCTCCCCTTTACAGAGCATGATCTTTTAAGGGGTTAAATTGAAGGTTTTGCACTACAGAAGATGTCAAGCCTATAACAATGTTCAAATTTCTCTTTGAGACTTAGCTTTCATTTTACATATGGCTTCTGAATTGATATTCCTTGGGGTAATAACCTGAGTATCATTATCCATGCTCCTGTGATCCTCTGGAAATTTTGACAACTACAATGAAGATCCTGTTTATATACTGTTAAAGCTAGCCCCAGCTCTCATCGTCATCTAGTGGCCACCTATTCTGCTGGGTACAATAATAACCAGCAATTAATGACACAAAGTCCTATTGTTCTAGGCTAGTTCTAATTTAAGCAAATCTACATTTGAAATAAAATGGCTTAGTTTTATGGTTATTCAACCATAACTGGCTTAGCAGCCTTCCAACCTCACTGGCATTAATGTTATAAACACAGAAATCTTGTAGTAACTTATTTTGAAATAGGAGTGTTAACCATATAGCTTGTAATATCTCAGCATTTAGACTTTACTCAAATTAATGAAAAGGGGATATTGATATTCTTCATTGCAGTACGATGGCTACACTTCCTGCCCACTAGTAACAGGCTACAACAAGGTGATTCTAGCAGAATTTGACTACGACGCTCAGCCTTTGGAGACCTTTCCCATTGACCAGAGCAAGGAGAGAGTAACCATGTACCACATGAAAGCCGATATGATGCCTTTTCTCTACTGGAATATGCTACTTAAGTAAGTATTTAAATGCTGAGCAGGCAGAGCTGCTGTGATCATTCAGAAAAAAGGCAGATAGAGATACCATTCTGCCTTAGTTCCTTAGCGGAGTAGAAGCACATACAGAGCATCCTTAGTCATGACTAAGATGAACTTTTTGAGGATTCTGGGTGCTTTGCTAATAACGGCTTTGTTCAAGCAGAATAGGCTTGAATTATACAGAAGGGCACCCCTTGCCCAAGGCTGATTCTCCAGAACAACCCCATAACACTCAGCTCTCAGCAAGCAGGGCATCTTATGGGAGTGAAACAAACACTCCCTCCAACTCTGAGAGTGCATATGTAAAACCTGATGGAATACTTTCTCCATTTCTAGGGGATATTGGGGAGGACCAGCTCCTGTCAGGAAGATAATGCATCTGGGCTTGAAGTAACTGCTGGTTCTGTGGTGGTAAAACACTTTTGAAGGAGACACTTCACACTGGATCAATATGCATCTTCCCTGTTGGACAACCACATGGTAGACTTTTTTTTAAATCAAGCTTTTGTCCAAAATTCACTTTTCCGCCTACTTGGGATTAAGTTTCCACTGCTCTTCTATGTAAACCAAAGCCTTCAACTGCTTCTGTATATACACAGGAGCTTGAATCTAACTATGAACTTGCTTTAAGCTACAGAACACTACCAAAATCTTCTATTCAATCAATTTTAAAGCTGTTCTATATGTAAAGTTTTTTCTCCCACTCTAAACTGAATTATCTACATCTGAGGATCAATGCATGCACTGGATGTAAGAGAATAATTCAATGCTAGTAAAATGGCCTGAAAATCTCCTATTCTCTTATTTTGGAAGGGGAAAACCTGTCCTTGTTTCTTCATCAAGAAGCATGGATTATGGAAATTCATGCAGGTTACTGAAAGAAAAGAACTCTAAGCAGCGTATGTGTACATATACACACACTCTCCTAGGATAGTTGTGCTGCTTCACATCAGTATCACCATATTTTAGTCTCACAGGTTAACAACTTAGTGAAAAGAATACCCGATAGAGTGACAACTGGGAGAAGACCAAGATCATCTAAGGCCATATACTAGGTTGAAACACAAATTGAGAGGACAGACAAGGGGGAAGTGCTTTTAATCATGACCACATGTAACTTCGTTTCAAGGGAAGATTGAACAAAGACAAATTTGAGTTGAGAGTCTTCACAGAAGCTGGAACTTTAGTGGCAGTCAGGTAGACAGCGCAGAGCAAACAGGAATCATCTTCACCCAAGAATCATCCACAGCAGCTTATTTCTGAATAGAAAGATATATATGAACATATTTAAAATTATAGCTTCATGTTTTTCAGCATAGCCTTTAAAAGGATTGCCTTAAAGTTGCAATTTTAAGTATGAACACGTACCTGCATGTTAAGTAATTCTTCGATCTTATTCTGGATCTGTCCATACACATCATTAAACAGCTCCTCCTTTGATTTTGTTCCATTCAAGTGCACTTAAAGTAATAAAGTAAAATAACAGAGCTGTAATTGAACGCCTCTGTAAGCCTGCCAGATCCTAATTGAAAGAGCATGCACTTGACTGGTATCAGAAATACACTCCCATGCACCTGCTTCAACTCCTCTCATACATCTAACCACTATGTAGATCCCAGGCTTGAAAAGCACTCTCATAAAGCAATCTTTCAGAAGTGCTTTTGTCATTAAAGACTTACCCACATCGACTCCGAGATCTTCCATTATCTTCCTGTGCTTTACATACATAGGCCAAACGTGGCCATCAAACAATCCAGGTGGATCAGGTACGGTGTAATTCCTTGAACTATAAATTAAGACATTGTTATTTAAGAGTAGGCTAATAACAGTTGAGGGAAATGACAGATAGTTCATTCAGTTTCTCTACTGAAGCTGCCTGAGCCCGCTGCCTGTAGTGTAGTTTCTGAGCTTATCAAAAGTCAGTCTTTAGCATAGCTGCAAGTATAAAGATACCCCCAAAAAGTTGGAATTTGATGTGTTAGTCCAAAGTATTCAAGATACAAAAGGATTCCTAAGACTGACTGATCTTAATATTGATTAATAACCTTCCCTTAAAGCTTCAGCAGAAATTTGGGTAAAATAGCCATCTGCTTATTCCTCTGAAATGCAAGTTTTTCAAGTTTAACACATCTTATTTGCATTACTGACAGTGTATGTGTACAACAGTACAGCCAAATATAAAACCCTAGGACAGTTCAAGACCCGGGAACCACTGGAGAACCAGAAAGGGAGAAAGCCTCTTGAAAGATCTGCACTGAAACTGAGCATTAGCCTCACACACACAAGAGTTTGGTAGAAAGCTTTTGGCTTTGTTTGGTGAAGTAAGCTACAGTCTTCTAATACAGCAGCTACACTAGTGTTTAAGCTTTCGCACCTAAAGCTTTTAAAGAGAAACAAAGCCTTGAACACAGATGTTATTGGGCTAGCAAGGGAACAGGGAAAGAAACTTACCTCCTCCTCCTTTTACACTCTTCATATGGAATAGAAAGAAAGTACCGATGGTGGAATACGTCAATCAATGGCCTGAAAGAGATACATTTAGTTACAGATCGACTGTTTGATTAGTAGCAAAAAACAGAAAAGTAAAACTACATCTATTTCCTGTACCTAGAGCTATCTTCAGACTTGTGACACCTAAACTCAGCAGCAGTCTGTACCAGCTGCTCACTCTTTGTTTAGGACATGTCTTTTTATTCCCTCAGAGTTTTGCCCAATATGAAGTCACATTTGATTACCTGTAGGTGTAAAGTAGAAAGCCTTCAACAATAAGAATGTGGACTGTTTCGTCTCCTCCCTCTTTATCTTGTAAGATTTCAGCATCCAATGTGTTGTTGATCCCATGAGAACGTTCAAACTTGACTGGGTTTTTTATCCAAGCGTTTATGGTACTCATCATAGCTTCCATATCCAATGCACTAATCACTAAGACAAGACAGAAAACTATCATTAAGAAGTACTTAAGTATCATCTAGTAATAATCAGTATGAAAATAGCACATGTAAAGGATCAAAATACTCAAAGTTTTTGAGTTACACTTTAACAACACTGTTGCAAAGCCTTACCATCATACTGTTTAAACCCATCTTCAACTTCTATTTCATCTTGGGGCTGAAACAGTGATAAGAAAAAAACAAAACTGCTTGGTCAGGACAGCTATTGGGAAGCTCGTACCCACTTCAAAGCAAGATTCAAGATCCGAACCCTGAAGCTAGGAAGAGGAATCTTAACCCTCCACCAGGTTTCTTTGCATGCAGATAAAAAGCAGCAGTAACAAGGCTAAGATAAGCAGCCCGCTCCTCTATCTTCCCGCCGACACGAGCACACCGTATAGCAGCACTCCGAGAAGACGGAAAGTCACCAACAGACGCATTACGGCGCCGGCTTATCCACCAGCGACGCGGCCACCCCAGCCCAGCGCTGCCGAGGATCGGCCGCGGCCGGTTCGGGGAAGGAGAGGAGCGGGCCGGGCGGCGCAGACGGCGGGCGAGGCGCCAAGGCGAGCGGGCGGAAGCAGGCGGGGGTCCCCCCTCGCCTTCCCCCGCCCTGCAGAGGGCGGCCGGCGCCCGCCTCACCTTGAAGAAGTCATCCTGGTGCACCACGCTGCAGTTGGGCAGGGCCTGCATCAGCCGGCGGGTCAGGGTGGTCTTCCCGCCGTTGGTCACCCTGCGGCGAGGAGACACCGGCCGTCGGCGACCGCGGCGGGACACGTGCGCGCGCTGCCCGCGCCGCTGCGGCACGAGGAGGGCC